TTGACAGGTTTACAATTTTTTTAACCCTGTCCGTTTCAACCTTTTTCAACTCCTTCTTGAAACATATCACGGTACAGTGCCAATACGGAGGAACATCAACAGAACAACAAGGCAAGCGGTATGAGTAACTGCCAAGAAGCGGATCAATTCTTTGCCGGAGTCTGTGCTTCCCTAAGAGTATACCTAGGTGTCTTCAAATCCGGGCTGACTAGGTTGCTTATTGTGGATAGGCATGCGCTGTCGTATGTCGCATCATTACTTACCATCAGATGTGATAGCGAAATCTATAACCAATCTTAAACCAAAACCAAAAAAAGGTCAAAAGCATTCGCAATTCTTCTGGTATTCCGGATGTCTATGAGCGAAGTCGGAGGTGATGCCAGACTTAACAAAATGATTCACGAGCACAGTTGAGAGCAACACCAACTAATGCAACAAAACGATTATCTTAGTGTGAAACGTATTATTAAAGTCGAATCAAGAAAAAAGGTCGATCAGAGTTCTAAGGTCCCCATATTTAATAGAACTGTGGGACATAATAAATGAATTGATTGTAGATAAACTTAGCATACACGTGATACCAATATTGTACGTAACTAATTGTCAGAAAGCCTGAAGGTTGACTGAAGGTTGAGGGCTTTTTATGGGAGGAAACCTCCAGAAGCCGCCTTCGAAAAGGGGTAGAATTTAGTGATTGAGAAAGTATTTGGGGAGATTGATTCAATCTCTGGTAACCTGATTCAAACGACGAAAGACAACGCTGTGTTTGTTGCACACAACCTTGTAAATTATAATTATTAAACAAATATTTGTGTATGTTTGATATATTAACAATGATAAAATATATCAAAGGGGTCATGCATTTTTGAATTTTCTACAGTCGGAGGAGGTATAAGTTAGGTCGCTCTGTTCCTAATAAAAAGATCCGACCGATTGTTGGTCCACGTGAATAGGTCTCTTTTGCTGGTGCAAGTTGACTAACTCATCGGGCTTGTTGACTGACCTACTGAGGCCAATTTTAACATATCATATTGTTTTAAGGAAGTGGCGTTGTGTTCTTTGTGTAGAAACTTATATAATAGTTAGTGTAACATGTAAGATCATTATAATTATAATTGATCACGTAAATGGAAAAAGACAATTGCATGTTAAGGGTGTGGACACGACTCCGTGGAGTATAAACTATTTCCTTAGAGGTAATAAAAAAGAGAATGCGAATGCCGCTTTGAAACCTGGCCAGCAAAAATATGACTTCTTTCTATTACGTAGACGCCATTCACAAACGGCGATGGAAAATATCGTTAGCATCTACTACACTTTATTAAGCCATCATAATAATCCACATAAAAAAATAAAATACAAATGTGCCTTTTTTGTTTTTGTTGGTCAGGGGAAAATTATCAAATGACCTCTCCCGCCCAGGCTAAGGCGAGAGAGAGTGTAAGACACTTACTGACTAAAAGCCCCCGTTCCTTCTCCTGCTCTAAGCCGAGGCCGCGGCGACTCATTGAGCTTAACCCGCAACCTCAGCTGAACATCAGCCCTATAGGGCCCCGTCTGTGGTGGTTCATTGGCTCTTTGAGGCTAGCGCGGAACGCTACGCACCGTCCGTTCGGGCCTGGATCTGGTCGGGCGGCGAGCAACCCTTACTCGAGCAGGAGAAAGGACGGGGTAGTTTGTAGTCAGTAAGAGTCTGACATTTCCGCTCGCCCCACCCAGGTTAAGATATTCGATGATCCCCCTCATAAAAAGTCTAAATAAGAGCAGTTAATACCAGTTTCGGAGCTGCCTGTCTTGGTATATAGCTTTTTTTGTCAGGGGTTAGTCATCAAATGGCTTCTCCCGCCCAGGGTAAGGCGAGAGAGTGTCAGACTCTTACTGACTAAAAACCCCCCCGTTCCTTCTCCTGCTCTGGCCGCGGTGACTCATTCATAATGTTGTAGTTACCCGGAGGACTCATTGACAAAAGGTATCATAAGAGAAGAAATCGCGAGGAAACCTGGACTTACAATTTCTAATTATAAGTTGTTCAAATCGCCGATTCTCTTTACATGAATTTTTCCGTGTGAGAAGAGGCCTTTGTGCAACAGTGGGCATTTATAGGCTGATGATAAGTTTTGTAATTTGACCTTGTGCTTAAAAAACGTGATTGCAGCTCATTCAACGTAACATACGTAACAAATTTTCTTAAAACAATTATAAGAAAATTGCTCTTGAGGTTAAGGCCATGCTGTTATGAACAATGGGTGATAAAATATTACGGTATTTTAATTATGTTTAATTATTTTAAATAGCTATTTCCCTGGCCCACGGGTTAAAGGCGTCCACTTCTCGTGGCTGCTTCTGGGAGAGCTAAGCACCGGTACGAATGAGCTAGCTCGATCAGATTACCACGCCCTTACAGAATGCAATAAAGGTTACCGGAGGCTCACTGCTTTATTCTGAATCCTCAAATCAACCCAAAAGAGGTGGATAGACAAGCTTCGGCACGAATGGGTCGGCTCGACCGGAGTGATACCACGACCTCACAGATTACCGGCGTGAAACAAACCACAGTCAGTGTTGTGTTTCGCCGTGTGTGTAAGGTTACCGGAGGCCCAATCCCTTCCCTTCCTCTATCCCTTCCCGATCCTTATGTCCGCAAACCCTATCCCCAAAAGGCTGGCAACGCACTCGTAACTCCTTTGCTGTTGCGGGTGTCTATGGGCGGCGCTGACTGCTTACCATCAGGTAATCCGTCTGCACGTTTGCCAATTTATACCATGAAATAAAAAAGAGGTCCTCATGGGCGACGGGGATAACGTATCATCAGGTTATTCGTCTGCATAAGTTGCCTTATGCCAATATGAGTATTTCCGAGTTTCATGGACCTTCTAAGTTTATTTAGACACCACTGACCCTCGGTGTAGAAAAATACCGTATAAAAACTCGAATTATAATCTATACTAATATTATAAAGAGGAAAACTTTGTTTGTTTGGTTGTAATAATTGTAACATCCACGTAACGACAATCTATGCAGCACGTCGATTCTATAAAATTTGTTTGATTTTGAATCTTGTTCGAGTGCGAAGTGAGCGTCGAAGTGGCGTGGTAATAAAATTTTAGAATGCCACTTTTTACGTCATCTCATACTTTATCTATCAAAATGATGCTGTCAATTTAATTCAACTCGCAAGTGTAGCGCTAGTGTACTACTTCTCACAGCGGATTCGGATTCGAAGTTTAGAATGAAGTCTTACTGAATCACACCCCAGCCTGCGGATAATGACTGCGTCGTCGGTGTCTGTGACTTAACCTGAGAATCTTTTTGCTGATCGTGTCTTTTCTGGGTAGGCTTTTTGCAGAGGTAGTTGACATCCACCTGGGGAGCCGCGGTTGACCGCTAGTGTGTTTATAAAGCTGAAGCGTGATTGCTTCTTTTTATAATGGCATAGGTCGACAAACGAGCAGACGGTTAACCTGGTGGTAAGCAATTAGGGATTTAAGGATAGAGAGAGATTGAGGATGGGGGAAGGATTCATTATCATCAGCCTATAAGTACCCACTGTTGAGCAAAGGCCTCTTCTCATACGGAGAAGTTAAGAGCATTAATCACCACGCTTGCTCAATGCGGGTTGGCGATTTCAATAATATTTTAAAACTGTAGAATCCTTTTTTCATTTGTTGATTCCTTGGTTCAATCGTTTGCTCGTTCGCTCATTCTTTCGATTAGTTCGGTTCACTAAATTCTTTCGGTTCATTTGTTTAAATTAAAAATACACGTTTTACACAAGGCTTTATTTGGCACAATAATAATGTATCACCTCATCCAAAAATCGATTATCCTTAAAAAATAATTTAATTTGCTTTAAAAATGTTTATAACTATAGGTACAACAACCACTTCGATACACATTTTGTTTTTTTATTAATTTATTGCGTTTTGTAGACTAGGTTCCTGGATACAGGAATGAATTAATATTAAGTCATAGCATACAAAGCTGTTGAAAAAGACAAGCAAATAGCAATAGCAATAATATGATTTATATTAACAAAAGCAAAATTGAACTTAATGCTTAGTTAATATTACATTGAAATTAAAAAGTAATGGCATTTTTGACACCACAATTTTTCACCATACAACATTTACTCATAAATTTAGAGTAAACTTCAACCGAATGTTATAATACGGTAAAACAGACTCGGATGAAAAACAAAACAAAGTCAATTTTTTTGCGACGACTGACTGACTCATATGAATTAATTGAGAAAAGCTCTACTAGTTTCAAGTTACATCGGGACTCTTATTCATAAGCAATGTGCGCGTTAAAGCACCTTGTAACTAATCAGCTTTTCTTAGTTACATCTTATATGAGTTTGTAGTTATTTCCAATTTAGTATGTCTCACTATAGTTATTATAAAAATATAATGTTTCTGATTTCAATAGGTAAGAGCTATTTAATTACAAATATAATTCTTTATTTATTTACAATCCAAAATATAAAGGCTCTTAAACACTATCCATAGGATCACAAAACAGTATCACTAAAAGTTTAAATGCCATACTCAGAGACATTCATGATTTAAACTAAACATTTCGTTCAGAAAAGTAATTGTTAAGGACTGAGTTTATTAAGGCATTGAGGGACCTACTCTCCTTATGACCAAAGTGTCTCAGATGACCCTCCAATCGTCGAAGACCGCGACATGATCTCCAGTCATCATTAAGGGTCTATGGACGATGAGCAAGGGTAGTTCATGGTCAGACTTGAACCTGACCCGAGTGTGCAGTACTCAGAAAGTCACCAGACCACTACTGATTGGGCCCAACTAAGCAAATATCCAAGCAGGATGCGGGAATGTACGGCAGCCATGTGAGGAGCAGAAAACAGCACAGGCTAGTCTGACTCTTCTTAATGTCCCAAACACGACAGAAGAAGCCATTGATGTTTTTTCCTCCTCAATGAAAAGACTCGTTTGAGTAACCATTAAATGATTCTGAGTACGGCGGTATTCTTTTACTTAATTTAGTCTACACTCAGTGCTCTGAAGGAGCCGGGCATCCCAACGTAATTCTCGGTGAATTTGCTTGACTGTCTGCAAGACTCGATGGTGTTGGCTTTGTTCATGATGTTCATGTACTCCTGGAACTCTTTGGAGTCCACAACTTCCACCCATTCTTCTGTAATGTAAAACAAAATTTATGCGTTAGTAAGTATTTTGTTTGAGGTTATATATTTTCTGGATTTGTTTGGAGATTTTGAAATTTGTGCTAAAAATTAAGTGAAATCAATTTTCTAGTAGACAGATTTAATGATCAATGTTATGGTTTGATCAGGGCTTAGTAAATCCACTTATTAATTAAAACATAGTATAACTTTCCGAAATATTTACCTACATAATATAGACTGACCCAAAAACCAATATTCTAAAGGTGATGAGTTTATTTATTTGTTTGAACGCTCTTATCAACGGAACTACTGTTTCGTATTGGACAATATTTATTGTGTAGAAAAGTCTTACTGAGGAAGACTATTATATACTATATGAAACATAACGCTAAAATCAATAGAAGCTGCACAGCTGGTGACACAGTACCAAAGTAGCTGATTAAATTTAGTAATCTGTATTTAATGAGGCAATACAAGAATGTGCGTATTGCTATTACTTTAAAACAGGCGCACCATTATTTTCTAAACTGCCCTACACTAGTATTTTCTCCTGTGGCGTGGATGCGTTTGCAAATATACAATTCCATCCTCAGACCCGGAACAACAATTTTGTGGATCACAAAATGGGTAGTTCCATTCGGTTACGAAATCGTGACACTTTGCAGCCGTTTGCCCAGCCACAACGCGGACTGTACAAATCCTAATATGGGCTAAATCTTTTAATAAAAAAAGAAGAATGGCCAAAATGTTTCCACAATACTTACTGTTCAACTCCAAAAGTGATTTCTCCTTGCCGCCGTAGTCTGAAGGCATGATCTCTTTAGGAATGAAATCGCTCAGTGTGTCCGCTGTCTTGTGTAAATGTATTCTGTCTCCAAGTTTAGCACTGAACACTTGTTTCAACATAGATATTAAAGTATCCACCATTTTTGAGGACGAGATCACATGGATACCTTTAATACGACAGCCGTAGCCTTCCTGCAAATTATAGATTTCTATTTATTATACAGTCTACATAGTCTACGTAGTAGACTTTATAGTGATTTTGATTTTCTAATATCAATCAAATAAAACGACTAAACCTTCTTTTTTGGAAACGGTTAACTGACGATGGAGCTTGCCAATCTATTATACATATAAGCAACCTATTCATTAAGCCTTGAATAAACTCAAATCTAGTTCCTTTGGGGAACACAGACTCTGGCAAATAATTAGACTCCTAAACAGTTCTGATAAGAATACTGGAGGTGAAACACTAATATAACATAAGGGGCTGAGTTTGTATGTTTAAACGAGCTAGCCCCCGAAACTACTAATCCGAATGGAATCATTGTTTTTGTGTTCGTTAGTTCATTTGTCCAGGATTGCTATAGGCTTATAAAACATGACGCTACGATCAACTGGAGCCGAGTAGCTGGTGAAACTACGCAAGAGTAGCTAGTTCAATAAAGAAAAATATTACTTACTGAATAATAATAATATTGAAACTAAAAATTACTATAATGAAATACTTACAGTCATCAAAGTAACAATTTGCCTTAGCTCTATAGGATTGATCTTGGTCACGAAGCTAAGAATGTTAATTTGTGAATAATCCAAGATAATTTGAAAACCGGCACAGTATTCAGCCTGCATCAAGTATTCACTGATCTGAAATACGAAAGGAAAATGTTTTTAAAAATAAACAACCTCTCACATTCTCAAACAACTTTCGAAATCAAAGTCAAAATCATTTATTTTAAGTAGACCCGTACAGGCACTTTTGAATGACAAACAAAGCTTATAGATAAAAATTGACAGTCTGTCGGTCAGTCCTCTTATGCCCGGTTCCTATATTTAAGGAATCGTCGTTGTATACGCATTACGACCAAATGACATTACGAATAGTTATCTTGACCGTCTACTGACGGTTAAAATATTTACAGGAACACCACAGACACCATAGATCTCCATACAATTCGCTTACCGACATCCGTTAGTTGCAAACCGTCAGTAAGTTGCACGACGAGACGTTTGTTATAGGAACGGTTTAAGCTTACGAGTCGTATATAAAACTACTATTCGTAACTAAAACGGATCGTTTCTCAATTATAGGAACCGGGCATTAGTGAAGCTATTTACTCGTTCCAAAGTTTAAATTCTGATGGACAAGAATGCGCAAGAAACTCCATGGTTACTTTACTCTTTTTTATATACATTATAAATACAGTCGATGGCAAGAACATCCCGTCTTCCCTTTTTCAGCCTATCATATCTTGTACTGAAGTTAAAATATCGTAAGAGTTGATGTCAAGTACATCTCATCTTATCTTTGTTAGCCCACCGCATTGTAAAGAAGACAGAGAACTAAAGTTATCGACATAGTCCAAAGGATTAGCAAGCTGAAGTGGCAGTGGGCAGGTCACATCTGTGAAAGAACCGATGACCGTTGGAGTAAACGTGTTTTAGAGTGGAGACCACGTCTAGGCAAACGTAGTGTAGGGCGCCCTCCAGCTAGGTGGACTGACAACATCCGCTGGATGGCTGGCAGTGGTTGGATGAGAAGAGTTGAACAACGTGCAATTGGGGAGGCCTATGTCCAGCAGTGGACGTCATCAGGCTGATGATGATGATGATCGTAAAGAAGTTAAGAAAATATCGTGTCAAACTTACCGCAGTCAAGTATTTGTAATAACTGAAGACGTATGCGGATTCCAAGTTTTCGGAGACAAGTTTAGCTATGTAGACCCTGTGATGCTGAGGAGTCATTTCTGGAATATGTGCTGTGTGTCTGGAATGATGTACAAAAAATAATTTAAGTGTGGGAGAACCAAACTTAGGCACGAATGGGTTGGCTCGACCGGAGTGATACCACAAGTGATGCCACAGAATACCGACGTGAAACAACCACAGCGTTGTATTTCGCCGATACCGGAGGCCCAATCCTTCATCTCCCCCCCGATCCCTCCCAATTCCTAAATCTCCAAAGCCCTAATCCCCAAAAAGGTCGGTAACGCACTCGTAACTCCTACGTTGCGGGTGTCCATGGGCGGCGCTGATTACTTACCATCAGGTAATCCGTATGCTCGTTGGCCGACTTATTCCATAAAAAAAACCTATGGGTCAAGATATGGAGTGGGATAGTATTCTGTGTTTTGGATAGAACCCACTCTTGGTTCAGCATGCCACGGCAGTTTACTACTTAACCGTACTAATCCCTGCGGTGGGCACTAAGCTAAGGCCCCCAGCCATTGCAACAAAAGCAGTATAAACTAAATGACCGCATCGCTGCGGGCACCCCCTGTGGGGTTCGAACCTCGACTCAGTAGAACTATTGTCGAGGAGTAGTAAGTTGAATCAGGGATGGATACTAGAAACGTTACCTATTTTTATTATGTGATAGGTCGACAAACAAGAAGAATAATTAGCTGATGGTAAGCAATCATCGCCGCCCATGGAGACAAAACACCATAGGAATTACGAGATTTAGGAATCGGGAATGGATGGGGAAGGGGAAGGATTGGGCCTGCGGTAGCCTTACTCACACGGCGAAACAAAACACTGTAGTTGTTTCACGCCGCTTTTTTCTTCGGTCGAGCTAACCCTTCCTACACTTAAAACGAGATTATGTAAATAACTAAATAAAGCCAAGTTAGTTATTTACGACTCAATGAACGGTACTGTATCTATTTTTATATACTACATTTATTTTTGTATGTATTAACATGTATTTATTAACTATATTAACATATGAACTTGTATTTATAGATTGGTCTATGTTTATATAATTTTTATTATTTATTTAGATTTATTAATGTAATTCATTTAGAGTCGTTGTGGGCGGAAGTTTTTGGCCACTTCTCATTCAAGAGGCGAGACAGTCTCATGCGTAACCAGGCAAGTACCACTGTGACTTTTTCAGAGTTTTATGTACTTTCTAAGATTATTTAAACACCATTGACAGAAGGTCACTTTTACATTTTAAGGATACCTGGATTTATAATGTTTATATAAAAAAATGGATCGCAAAATGTGTTGGTAAGCGCATAACTCAACAACGCCTGGAATAATTTTGCTATTTCTTTTTTTGTAGTGTTTGTTATTGTCAGGAGAACTTTCTTATCAAAGAAAGTAATAGAAAAGTAGAGGGTAAGATTAGGAAAAAGTGACACTTTGATAGCGAGACAGTTGGACCAGTGCGAAGCGGGGGCGGGCCGCTAGTTTCCAATAATAATAAGATTGAAATCACCAATACGTCCTGAGCAAATGTGGTGATTAATGCTTAAACCTTCTCCGTGTGAAAAGAGGACTTTGCTCAGCAGAGTGCACTTATAAGCTAATGATAATGATGATATATTTAATTTGCATATTGCAATAAAATTTTATTATTTCAAGTTTTCTTCTTAATTGGCTGCACGGTTGGATACGTACAACTTGTTGTGATTCACAAATAAAGTTGTTATTTCAGGTTCGGTTGTTTGTTGTTATTTGTACTTTACAATTTATCGTTGCTATCCATATTCACACAGGTCGTGGTGGCCCTGAGGTTAAGGAGCCCGCTTCTCATGCATTCTCATGGGTGTGGGTCGAAACCTGGCATGTACCAATGTGACTTTTTCCAAATTATATGTCCTTTCTATGATTATTTAGACACCACTCACACACGGTGAAGGTAAACATCGTGAGGAAACCTGGACTTATAATTTTTAATTACAAGTTTGGAATCGCCAATCCTCATTGAGCAAGCGTGGTGTTCAATGCTCTAACCTTCTCCGTAAGAGAAGAGGCTTTTGCTCAGCAGTGGGCACTTATAGACTGATGATTATGATTATGATGACTCTTTTCAATTCTCCTCCTAATATTATAAAACTCGAATGTTTATAAGTCTAGATGGATGTAAGTTCCTTTTTTACATAAAAACTATCAAATCAAATCAAATCAAATCAAAATCATTTATTCCAAATAAACCATAAATAGGTACTTTTGAAACGTCAAAATAGAATAGTAGTCTGTCAGTCTGTTCGTCAGTGAAGCTAGGTGCTCGTTCCAAATTGTAGTTTCGAATGGAGAAGAACGAGCAAGAAACTCCATCGTTACTCTTTTAAAAAAAAAAATTTGTTTTACAATTCATCAATAATACATTTTTTATACATTACTGTACCCCTATGTGAGAACAATGCAGAGACACGTTGTTAATAAAAAGGAACAAATTATGGTCTATTTAATCTATCATTAAAATTTTAATCCTTTGTTGTCTCGTACATGGCGCTCACATATGCGTACTCACAATCCAAAAGAATGCTTCTATATAAACTCATTCAAGGTTTCATTAATTTTGAGAATTTTAATAACTACTGACTACATATTTGAGAATTGTCCAGTGGAGCCGAATCAACATGCTGCCAGGCATTCTTATCCTCAATATAATCTGAAAGTTTGTAGTATGCCTGTCTACATAATTCGCGTTTAATATAAGTTTTAAATTTTCGTTCATTAAGATTTAATACACTTCTTGGAATTTTATTGTAACAATTTACACAGAACCCCATAAAGGATTTCTGTACTTTGGACAGACGGAATCGTGGCACAGCCAGCCTATCTTTGCCTCTAGTATTAAAATTGTGTCTATCGCTTCTTTTTTCAAATAATTGCAAATTTTTCCTTACGTACATAATATTTTCATATATAAACTGACAAGGTACCGTTAGGATATTTATCGTTTTAAATAGTTCTCTCAGAGATTCACGAGGGGACAAGTTATATATCGCTTGGATAGCCCGCTTTTGCAAAATAAATATTGAATCTACTTCCGCAGCTCGACCCCATAGCAAAATTCCGTACGACATAATGCTGTGAAAATAGCTAAAATAAACAAGCCTTGCTGTGTTCACGCCTGTGAGCTGTCTAATCTGTCTAACTGCAAAAACAGCTGAGCTTAGTCTTCCCGAAAGCGTCTTTATGTGGGAACCCCATTGAAGTTTATTGTCTAGCGTAATACCTAGGAACATAGTCTCGTTAACAAATTCTAACTTTTGCCCATTTAAAATTATGTCACAATCATTATTGTGTACGTTGGGCAAGCTAAATTTAATACATTTTGTTTTTTTCTCGTTAAGTGCTAAATTATTGACTGTAAACCAATTATGAACTCGATGAATGGACTACTACGGAACAGATTTGAATAAAAATTGGAACAGAGATAGAGTCAGATTATAAAACACAGGTTTTTTATCCTCGTTCTAAGGGCGAAACCGCTGGGAGAAAATAATTATATTAATACTTTTTTAATAAGCTTTTTTTCTGTACAAAAACAAGTTCATCAACAACTTGGTAGAATGTAGTAACTTTACCTTATATTTTATTTTTATTTAAAAACATGCCCCCCACTAGGATTTTTACCTGTGTCGTGTGTTCGATTACAAACATGCAATTTCACGTGCACATGACACCCAAACCCGGAACAACAATTTGTGAATCACACAAAGAGTTGTTCCGTGCGGGAATCGAACCCGCGACACGTTGCACGGCAGCCAGTTGCCCAGCCACCGCACCAACCGTGCAGTCAGTCCGTGGTTACATTAAAGTTGAAAATAACCTAAGTAAAATATTCGCAAATTACTTACATAATTTGGTGAATAGGTTCCAGCTCTTTCTTGACGTCAATTGGGCTGAAGAACTCAGGCATCAGCGTTTTGAAAGTGCACAGTTTATCCAGCTTTTCTTTTGCTCTCTCAACTAAACCTTTTGAGATTACTATGAACCTTTCGAGGTATTCTCGAGCTGTGGACAATAAAATAAAAATGAGACATAGACTATCACGCGGTTTCCGAAAGGCCATCTGATTGGTTGACTGAGTTATCAACAACCAATCAGATGACTTGACAGGAGATTTGACACCTAGTTAGTTGATTTTAATATTGATCGGGCTTCCGGAAACCGAGCATTAATCTACAAAGTCCCTACTAACAACATCCTTGTCAATGTAACGTTTATTGGTGTTAAAATGAGTTTTCGTGTGCGATAATTGTGTTTTTTTTTCGAATGGGGAATAGAATATAACAGAACGTCGATTCTATAACAAAAAAATGATTTAGAATCTTGTTCGAGTGTGAAGTGGGTGTCGAATTGACGGGGAAATTTAATTTTAGAATGCCTCTTTTAACGTCATCTCATACTTTATCTTACAAAATGTTGTCGTCAATTTAGTTCAACTCGCAAGTGTGGCGCTAGTGTACTACTACTCACAATGACTTCAGATTAGAAGGTTACAATGAAGTCTTACAGAATCACACTGCAAAAGGCTTCTCTAACCAAGCCGTGTGAGTGAGGTTACCGGAGGCCCAATCCTTCCCCTCCCCCAATCCCTCCTCAATCCCTAAATCTCCAAATCCCTAATACCTAAAAGGTCGGCAACGCACTCGTAACTCCTCCGTTGCGGGTGTCCATGGGCGGCGCTGATTGCTTACCATCATTTGCCGACCTATTACATAAAAAAAAGTGTGAGGCGAGAGGGAGTGTCAGACTCTTACTAGCTAAAAACCACCTTGTTCCTTGTTCTGCTCTAGTCCGAGGCCGCGGTACCTTATTGCGTTTGCTCCGCAGCCTCTGCTGAACATCGGCTCTGTTGAGCTTCATCTGTGGTGGTCTTGGCATCCTTAATATAAATTACCCAAAAAAAAAAATGGAAAATTCAGAAAAAAGACTGGTCCCTACTAGCTTTGTGAGCATGTCATTCTGACGTATTTAAACGCCTTAATCCCAAGTAGGTATAACTTCAAGTTAAAACATAAATCGAATGGTCAAAGGCCAGTTTCTTTTTTGCAAAAAAAAAAAAAATCTGTATGCTAAATTTTCAAGGTCTGTATTGCGTTCACCGTTTTTTTGGAGGTTAACATGAGACTTTAACCAATTAATTTGAGCCCATAATTACCAAGTATTGAGTTCAAAAAAATCATACAAAAAACATGCTCTCATACATTGTTTCTATGATAATAATTATTGTTGTAAATTAATTATAAGTGTTTTATAATAATTGTTTGGTTAAGGTTAAGTTATTAAATATAATTAAATTTTGAACCGGATATTATGTTTAAGTGTTGGAGAGGCATGCTCCGATACGAATGGGTCGGCTTGACAGGAGCGATACCACGGTCTCACAGAAAACCGGAGTGAAACAACCACAGAGTTTTGTTTCGCCGTTTATGGGAGGTTATCGAAGACCCAATTCTTTTTCTCCCCCATTCCTCCCCAATTCCCAAAAGGTCGACAATGCATTCGTGAAAAGCACACATAAGCGTAAAGACGGATTACCTCTTGTAATCCGTCTGCTGGTTTTCCTTCATACCACATAATAATATAAAAAATTAAATACTACCTACTAGTCTGGTTAATTAATTTAAAATATTAGTTACGCTTTTTTCCTTACGGAATCAAAAACATTCAACGATATATTATTGATTCGAAATGTCACGTGACGTCAAGACTTTTGAAAAGTTAACCATATTTGTTTATGTATGTCAAGTTAATTTTTTATTATGTTTTATTTAATTTCAATATAACATTATTGATTACCAGCTTTTGCCCGCGACTCCGTTCGCGTGGAACAGTGACTTTGTGCAGATTTTTGGTATAAAAACTAACCCATGTCCTTTCTCGAGTTCCAAGCTAAGTCTGTACCAAATTTTACAGAAATCGGTTCAGTAGTTTAGGCGTGAAGAAAAGACAGATAGACAGACAGAGTTACTTTCGCATTTTTAAAATTAGTTTTGATAAAAATAAGAATGTTATAACATACCGCTGTCAATATCAGACAGCGCGTTATTACTGAATAAAAAATTACTCTTAAAAAAATACGAATAAAAATGCATCCGATCCGGGAAGCGAACCCGAGAAACTTTTCAGTACCTAATTACACCTACGATAAACGAGAGCCGTTTTTAACACCAAATATATCATAGAATCAACAAATTATTAATAACATTATAATTGCGAAAGTTTCTAAGCATAACTTTATACTATAGCTTCTGCCCGCTGCTTTGTCCGCATGGTGTTTTAATAAAAGTAGCCTATGCACCTCTGTGCAGTATGTTGATAAAAGGTAACCTGTGTCCTATTCCGGAGCGTATCCCATGCCTGTGTCAAGTTTCATCCAGATCCGTTCAGCCGTTTTGGGGTGATTGAGTAACAAACATCCAAACATCCAACCATCGTAACTTTCGCATTTATAATATTAGTAAGATGGATGAATGCACGAACTTTAAACAAGCAACCCTTTAAATACAATCTACTGAAAAGAAGAAGAAGATTTGAATGAAATTTGGCACAGAAATACTTACAGTTAGGAATAACACATATAACATATGTATAACACACACATTACACATATTTACTTATAATAGTTACATATGTTATGGTATATGTACTTCCATTTTTTATATTCTATTTATTGTAATATGCTTAACTAAGTAATTACTCGTATTACATTTTTTTGTCTACTTTTTTGCACCGACCATATCTCTCACTGCAGCACCCAAAGGTTGGCTATCGAGAATGCCTGTAGGCATTAAGCCCACCCATGTACTTTGTGTATAAAGTTAAATAATTAAATAAATAAAAGGGTATTTCTCAACTTGGGATAGTGAGGAAAGCCGCCAGCCCTTACGACGACTTTGATGTCACGTCTACCGTAGTGCAGCAGTAATTGCTTATAAGTTGCCTGGTATTCTTATTAGCTCCCAACCATATATATTTTAATATCTATCTAGGTACTTACTTTTGCCCGCATCTCCGGTCACGTGGAATAGTGACTTCCTGCAGATTTTTGGTATAAAAACTATCCTATGTCCTTTTTCGAGTTCCAAACTATATCTGTACCAAATTTCACAGAAATCAGAGGAGTAGCTAAACTACTCCTCCGATTTCGCATGAAGAAAAGACTGACAGAGTTACTTTCACATTTATAATATTAGTATACAGATATAGATTTATTATGCACTAAACTGCCCATTCCCAGTTTTTTTTTTAAATATCCAACCAAAGGTTGTGTGGAAGAAATCGCCCTGTGTGATAAGACCGCCCATTGCCCACTCTGTGGCTGTAAGCGTACTCTTTGTGTTTACAATTTTAATGATATGTAAAATAAAAATAAGTAAATAAAGCAAGAGATTACTCACGAAAATCCTTCTTAGCAAAATGCGGCTGTTTTTGAACCCAGTCCTCCAAAATGTCGATAGCTTCGTTCATCCGTCCGGGCTTATCAAGGTTCAATTCTTTTCGCACTTCAAGCAAAGTATCGGGCCGAAACCTTAAGATACGGTCGCTTAAACTTTCCATTTTTTCGGACCCGACTTCACCGTTTGATGGCTAACCAGAAACTGAATTGTACGTTTATAATTTAACAACTTTTATAAACTCCTTGGTGTGGGACTAAAGTTCGCTAATATGCTGTTTGAACTTGTTCCTCGAGTGGTTTTAAACGTCACTCGACACTTGGATTGAACTGAGTGTGTGTGTGTGTGTCAGAAACTTTTCACCTTCAAAATCATATTCGAAAGACAAAAAAAAAAAATACAAAACCTTTTTTTTAAAGTCAAAATTATAGATCAGTACGTCAGTCCGTCTATTAGTGTAGCTACGTTTTCTTATAGCTGTGTTCTAGAATACATTTGTAATTAGTTCAAATGATTTATTGGTGATAGAATTTAATTATTATTTATTTAAAATGTGCAATTTGTGTTAACAGACGTTTTTAAGCGTATTTTTATATTCAATATTTTATTTATTTAAATAATTAAAGTTTAATAGGACATTTTAATTAATTGAACTAGATAAGGCTAATATTTTCTTTAGGATTACTTCAAAAAACAACACTAATACAAAGAAAGAGGTTATAGTTTATTTTAAATAAAAATAGAATTACTATTATAGCCTAGCTATCTGTAACACGGGATACAGAAATTGACAATAAATTCGAAATTAAACGACACAACGACAATTTGTTGATAATATCAGCCAGGGTTGTGGGGTAAGCGCAAAAAGGCACCGTGACCTCGGCCTAGAGCAGGACAAGGAATGGCGGGGTTTTTTAGACCCTGGACAAGAGAAGACATTCTACTCAATAAATAAAAAAATAAAATAAAAAAATAAATGATATTTCTCCTTCAAAAAAATCTTTTTAATTTTTGTACATTTTGTGTTTTTGATCTTTGTTTGCGACAAAAGCAAGCTTAGTTATTTTTTGAAAATAAGCTATGTAATTTATGTATATCCTAAAATTAATGTTTTAAATTGGAATTATCATTCATACAGGAAAATTAAACGCGAAAATTTGTAAGCATAGATGTATGTACATATAATATAATTATTACTCTTTTATGTACAAAACTACTAAATGGATTTTGATAAAAAATTGTTACAGTGATAGATTATAGTCTGGAATAATACATAGGCTACTTTTCATCTGCAAAGTCACTAGCAGTTTGAATTTTTTTACATATTGCACTGAACCGTCTATAATGTTGTATTTAGTTTGGTGCTGGTAGGGTAGAGGTGATTCAATAAGGACACAAGTTGACAGTTACATGTCGGTTTATTGAATGAATAATTATACTCTAAAGTCTTACATTATAACAAACTTACATACTAAGCAAAACGTGATCAATACATTTAACAATTGATTTTCTGCGAATATTATTTCTCAATACCTTACAGCTCCCCTGAAAAGTAAAGGGCTACTACCCCTTCCCCTTAAGGAAAAAAAAATCATATACAAAAACACAAAGTATAAAAGAATCTTAAATTAAGATACAAATTTTATAGTATTATTTTTATGTACCACAACAACCTTATTATTTTTTAAAATCTTAACATTTGGGGAAAGATCTTCTAAGACCTCAAATGGACCATTATACACAGGATCAAGTTTAGTACCTGTTTGGTTTTTCAATAAAATTAAATCCCCTTTTTCATATTTAATACTATTCATATTTTTATCATATACATTTTTTCTTAAAATCTTACTCTTAATTAAATTTTGTTTAGCCTCAGCTAGGGCTTTGCTTAATCTATATTTTAGTTCCTTAGGGTAATCCTCATAGTTATATAAAGGTTCTATTTCTAAAAATACATTGCTAGGAATGTTACACATTTTTCCATAAACCAATTCGTATGGAGTGTACTTCGTTTCAGTATGCACTGATGTATTATATGAAAAGCACCAGAAAGGTACCCAATCGCTCCAATTTGTCTTATTGTTTTCACATTGTATTCTGAGAAATGCTCCTAAGTGTTTATGACTGTTTTCCAGCGATCCTAATGTTTCGTGGTGATATGGAGTAGAAGTTAATTTTTCAATTTTTAACAATTTACATATTTCAACTAGTACACTTGACGTAAACTCGGTTCCTTTATCTGTTAAAATTTGTTTTGGTATGCCATAACGTAATATAAAATTATTAACAAAAGTTCTAGCGACAGATTCTGCATCTTTTCGAGACAAAGGGTATGCTTCTACGAATTTAGTTAAATTACATTGTAACGTTAAGATATATTTATTATTATGATTATCTATCTCTAGTGGGCCCATTAAATCTAAACTTATACTATCAAATGCCGTATCTGGTGTTGATGTAACAACCATCGGTTCTTTTATTCTTTTATTACAGTGCTTCTGTATTTGACAGCTTTTGCACTTTCGGACATAATCCGTAACGTCACTGTTTAATCCTGGCCAGTAATAACTTTTCTTTATATTATTAATCATTCGATTAATGCCTGCATGTCCACTCGTGGGCAAGAGGTGAAAATCATTTAATATGACCTTTATATGGTCTTTGTCTACGACGCGAACAACGTCTCTCACAATTAAAAATCGTGGGATAAGAATTTGAAATTCTTTCATTACCCTTAATAAAACTTTTATGTGTAATGCATTACGTTTGTTTTTAATTATTAATAATTCTTTAATCCCTAAATTTCTGCATAAGTTTTCTAAATCCCTCGCTAACACTTCCGGAGTAGATAACGATCGGGTATTTAGCTGTATTGCAGACTGTGTGGGAACATAAGTGCAAGTCACAATATCGGAAAACGACAAATTCGATTCCCTACATTCATCACAAAATACTAGCTCCACTATTTCGTCAGGTTTTTTGAGAACCTCGACAGCGACAGGTTGATCAGGCCTATCCACTGAAGAAGAATTCTCTACTACTTGTCTATCATTTAAACGTTCTTGTTCTAATTTCTTCTTTTGAGCTCTAGTTAATACTGAAATTGTTTTGTCACGCATATTCTTAAAATCAGAAGATGTCACCGTGATTCGGCTTAATGCATCTGCAGCTGCATTATTACGACCAGGGACATATTCCACGTCAAAGTCATATTCTTCTAGATATAATCGAAACTTTGTTAATCTACTTGATGGGTCATTTAAACTAAATAGGTATACAAGTGGCCTATGGTCTGTGAAAATCTTAAATTTCCTTCCATATAAATAGGGTCTAAAGTGGCGAACAGCCCAAACGATAGCTAATAGTTCTAGCTCTATTATCGGGTATCTAGACTCGGCTGGCTTTAAACTTCTACTTGCATAAGCGATAACTCTTCCATTGCTATTACTTAATACTGCACCTAGACCTATTTTTGAAGCATCAGTTTGTAATTGAAAAATATTTGACTCGGAAAAATCTGGGTAGTCTAATATGGGTGGTCTCGTTAAAGTTAACTTTAAGTTTTGAAAAGCGGTTTCACAATCGTTTGTCCATCTAAATACAATACCCTTTTTGCACAATTGATTCAATGGAAATACAATGTCGGCAAATTTAGGTATGAATCGCCGGTAATAATTGGCAAATGCAACCAATCGTTTTACTTCGTCAGCACAAGTGGGTCTCGGAAAATTAGTCATTATGTTTATTTTGTTTGGGTCTGGGAATATACCTTCCGATGTAATTTTATGGCCTAAGTAAACAATTTCCTTTCTCAAAAACTCACATTTCATGGGATTTAACTTTAAATTAACTTCTCTTAACCGATTCAAAACACTGATAAGATTTGAGTTATGTTGTTCCATTGATTTTCCTATTACTACGCAATCATCTAAATATTGGAAACATTTCTTATAATTTAGGCCTGACATTGCAATAGTCATCAGTCTAGAAAAAACACTAGGACTTGTTTTTAATCCCATTGGGCAACGCTTCATTTGATATTGCTTTCCCGCTGAGAAAGCAGTACATTTACGTGAGTCCTTGTCTAAAGAAAGTTGGTACATTTTATCCAAATTAAATGCTGTATATTTACGTGAATTTTGATTTAATGATAATTGGTAATATGATTGCGATAGGTCTAATTTGGAAAAATAAATACTGCCAGAAAGAGAATCCAAAATATCTGTAATATTTGGCAAAGGAAACTTGTCATCCTGAATTTTATTGTTTAATTGCCTGTAATCTACAACAAGTCTCCACTTTTTCTCATTAGATTTATCGGCTTTTTTCGGAACTAATAGGACAGGACTAGACCACTCGGAAACGGTTTCCTCTATGATGTCGTTGTCTAACATCTCCTGGACCTGTTTTTCTACCTCCTGTTTTAATGAATGGGGTATTCTATACGGTTTTACGTAAACAGGTGTCGCATCATTTTTTAATACGATATTATGTTCCATTAAGTTAGTTACAGATAACTTATCACCGGGTAAATGGAAGACATCTGCGTATTTAGCACAAATTTTCTCAATATGAATTCTCTCGTCTTTATTCAAATAATTTATATCTAGTAAATCAAACAAAGTTTTAACGCGTGCTACTGACGTGTTTTTCTTTTGAAAACAGCATATCTCAAACTCATTGACTGTAAAAGTTTTTACTTTAGATAAGTCTAAATTTATCTTTGTATTCAAAGTATTTAATATTTTAATCGGAATTCGACCTTTATTCGGTTTTGTTATCATTCCGGCAATAAATACTCCTTTCTCGATCTCATCAGCTAAAATTACAACATCATGACACGATTGACAAGGTACGTATTTAATTGTTTCGCAACGAGGTGGTATTGAATGGATGTAACAAATGTTCTTGTTTATGTGCACGTAAATAGTTTCGTTATTTTTTGATAACTGTAAAATATTTTCCCTATAATCAATAACAGCATTGTATTGTCTAAAAAAATCTTCACCTAATATACCATCTGCTGAGCATGACAAATTTTTAAATACATAAAACTTTTGTCTAAAAATAACACTATTATACTCTAAATGTATGTAAACAAATCCTTCAGAAAGTAACTTTCCGCTTATACCTTTAATTGTTATTTTATCTTCATGAAGCTGACTCATATATTCGGTATAATTTTGTAAGGATTCGTATTTCAAAGCACATAAATTTGC